CACTGTGCCAGCCAGGGCACTTTCATTGATAATAATAATCATCATAATAGTAAACCTTACTGAACCCTGACCATGTACCAGGCACTATGCTGAGCCCTTTCTGTGGGCATCCTCCGTGCATCTTCATCCAGGCCCCATGGGGGGGGTTTCACTACAATTTTAAGGATGAGGCATGTGAGCCTCAGGGAGGTGGAGCATCTCACCCCCAGGCACACAGTCAGTGGGTGACAGAGTGAGGACCCGCACTCAGGTCTGTTTGCCCACCACCCGGACACACTTAGCTGTAACACCCCTCAAACAGCAAACGGCCAGATGAGAGACTCGGACAAAATTCAGAGAGGAGTGGAATCCCCACCAATGGGAGCTTCAAGAAAGCATTCCTAATGAGGGGCCTCAGGAGTGGACCTGCAGAGAGCAGGGACCCAGCCAAACAGAAAGGGTCTCTTTGGGTGACTGCTCCCACATGTTTGATTACGGGTCAAGACACATTTGAGACAAATAAGTTGCCACCGGCGGCTGTGAGTGTGGGGATCAGGCTGTGCCCACAAGACCTGGAGACGAATCCTCTCTCCCGCTTCCACTGGTTGTGTTGAAAATGGACGAGCTCACCAACCTTTCCAAGCCCTGGTTGCCTCATCTGTAAGATGAGCATAACAGTGATATTTATACGTCACGGGGAAATTCTAAGGATTTAATCAGACAGGGATGTGAAGTGTCTAATATGGTCCCTGGCACATAGCGAGGGCTCACGCTACGAATGTGAACAATGATGATGATAATGATGTTTGGTGGCTACACTCTTCAATGCTGAGGAATCTTGAGAAGAAGAGAGGCCCATCTTCTGAGTCCCCTTCCATCTCTAATTATCCTAGACTTAGACACTGAACGAATGAACAGGTGGTGCGCTCTGTGACCAAGGAGGAGAAGCGCCTGAAGACGGAAGGGGACGGGCGTCCCACACGGCAGCGGGAGTGGGGAGTCCTTCAGAACCCGGGGTGGCAGCAGAATGACGGTTCTTTCCTTATGATGAGGGAGCCATGGGGTCCCAAGTCAGAATGGGTTGACGGATGAGCTGGATGCTTCAATTACATCTCTCACTGAATCTTCCCAACGCTCCTCCGTGCTGGTACTATGATTTCCGTGTTGCTGATGAAGAAATGCGGGAGCAACCGGCCCGAGGTCACACAGCTGGGAAGCAGCCAGGCAGGACTCCACATCAAGGCGGCCCTCCCACCTCCAGTCCAGCCTGTCTGGGCCAATCTGGGCCAACGGGGCCGGAGGCGGGGGAGGGACGGGCTCAGGAGTCCATCGGGTGGACTGTCCCCATGGCTTTCCGGATCTGTCCCCTCCTCTCCCACCCTCTGCCCCAGTCTGGGCCATTGCAGGTGCCCCCTATCTGGCCTCTCTCCTCAATTCTGCCTCCAATCTGAGTTCACACCTCACTCAGGCAAAGAAACACAGTGGACCCTGTTCTTCCCTGGCATAAAACCCTTCTGTTGCCCACAGGCCTGCTCCCCACACTGGTCAGTGTCCTCAGCAGAGGAGGACGCTGTCTTCCTGGAGCGATAATTATACTTTTTTTCAAATTATAACAATTACGCGCTGCAGAGTGGAATGCAAAATGTCCAGGGATTTTTTCAGAAACGGAGTTGTTTTGGGCTAAGCCTCAGAATGGATGTGTGCGTTTTGGGGCGGGGAGGGAGTATCATTCTTCATGGGAAATGTTTCACTGGCCTCAACAATGAAGAGAAACTCGCAGCCTGGGTGTGCGCTGTGCTCCAGCCAGAACTATCTTGATGCCCTCTTCTTTACATTGCGCCTGCCTGCCCCTCTTTCAGCCTGGGAAGCTCCTAGTAATCCTTTAAGGCTCAATTCCACGTCCCCTCCTCCAAGAAGCCCTCCGTGATCCCACCGCCATGTCCTTGCAGTGCTGCTCCCTCGGCGTCTTGCTCTCCCTCTTCACAGCTTCTCAACACATGCTGCTGGGACCGCCACTTTAAGAGGCAGCCTCTCCAGGAGCCTATGAGCGACTTGAGGTCAGGGAGTTCACCATGAACGCTGCCTTCACTTGTTCATTCAACACACACCCGGAGCCCCTCTCTGTGCCAGGCCATGGGCTCTGGATTCAGGGATGACTCAGTGTGTCCTCAGAGGAGCTCCAGCCTGAGGTGGGACAAACCATCCATTCATTTATTGCTTGATATATTAAAACAAACAAAAGCAAAACCCTTTGCTGATCCCCAACTGGGCCAGGCTCTCCGCTCAGGACTCAGGATATGAAAAAGAGCAAAACCTGTGCCTGCCCCCAAGGGCCTCCCAGTCTGGCCAGTGGCCAGTGGCCACCACTAAGTGCATGCTGTGTCCCCAAGGCTGTGGGGCACCAAGGCTGGCCCGGGGTTCTTTTCTTTTGATTTGTTTTTGAGGACAATGAAAGAATGAATGAATGGATTTTTTCTGGGTTTTTTTTTTTTCTGTCTTAGGGAACTTGTGGGGTTTTAAGCATGAATGAACTCTGTAAATCAAGGCAACCAAAAAATGGCTGATCAACTGATTGACTGAAATGTCACACAGGAAGTTGCTAGCAGGACAGGGCTAGATTCTGGGACTCCCCCACCCTGGACTCTCTCACTGGGGAGCCAGTCCACTCTGACCACGGCTGAGAGAGAGCCTGCTCAAGCCAGCTCCAGGCTGTAGAGCCTCCTGCAAACCCGCAGTAAAACACAGCCGCGGCTGGGCCTGCCTCCCAAGGGGGCCGTGAGCATTAATTAGTTGCCATTGGTAAAGTGCTTTGACGATATGGGGGTGTATAAACACGGCAAGTCATTAGGCCTCTCCACACCACGATGCTCTACAGCCTGGGAACTGCTAATTGAGAAATAATTAACACCTCAGGGTGCAGAGGCCCGACGCCTGGCTTTTCCGGGATTGGACGGGATGTAATAACGTGCATGGGGAGCAGGGAGAAATATAAGGCTACTTTGGATCCCGAAATATACTGAAGATTATTCACCTCCGGCCGCCAGAGAGGAGCTCCAGTAAACCTTCCATCCTGCGCACCTTGGGGAAAGCCCCACCGCGGGCCTGGACTGCAGAGGCCCGGGGGCACTCAGGGCAGAGAGCTCAGGTCCAGCCCAGCTCTGCTCGGCCTCCTAGCTGGTGGGCACATGCCCATCGTGGGGTCCACCCAAGCTGTATTTTCCTCAACTGTAAGATGATGACATGGGTCTCCGCCCCGCCCCCCCGCCCCTGCCCGGTTGTCTGATGCCTGTCCTCTAGCCCAGCCAATCTATCTCAGGCTGCGCATTAGGATCATCTGGGGGATTCTGGAGTAGGTGCGCAGGCCCACCCCAGATTGCTGACGAGCACCTCCAGGCTGGAGCTGGGGCACACATGATTCCAGCACAGTCAAGGTTGAGAACCACTGCTTTGGCCTGTGTGTCAGCCCTGTGTTGGGAGCAGTGGGAAATGAAGACGCAAATCCTACCACACTCCAGGTTTCCCTCACTCCTCACACCCGCTCATCATTTCCTGATTCTGTGCCTGTGAGTGTCCTGGTCCCTCAGCCTGGACATTCCACTCCTCTTGCACTGCCATCCTTGTCCTGGCAAACCCCACTTGTTCTTCAGGCTCCACACAAAACTCACCTCCTCAGTGAAGCCTTCCTTTCCAAGTGCTCCCACGGGACTTTCTCAGCCCCGTCACACTGCTGATCACAGCGCGTTGTTCCCGGCAGATCTTGGCGGGCTGAGAGCTTTCTGGAGCCAGTGTCAGAAGCACCAGTGTCTTGCATCAGGTCTGGTACATTTTAGGCCCTCAGTAAACTACAGCTGTTATTAGTGGGGTAGCGTTACATGATACGCAGCTCCCGCCTCAGGGCTTTCGCACTCGTTGTTCCCTGTGTCTGGAACATTGTACCTCCAGATATCTGCAAGGCTCTCTCAGTCTCCTTCAGGTCTTTGCCAAGATGTCACCTTCTCGATGAGGCTTTCCCTGATTGTCCTATATTAAATAGCAACCTCTCAATCTCCAACCATTCCCTTCCCTGATTAATTTTCCTCCATAGTGTTTAACACCATCTAACTGATGGATACCGTTTTTATTTAAAACGTTGACATTTTGTTCATCGCGTATTTTTTTTGCATTTTTTAAAAACTTAATTGCATCATTAAAATACTACCTATCCTGATTACTGGGTTCTTTGCCCCCACCCCTTAAGTTTCACTGTATTGGTTTATTCACTGTCTCTTCTCACTAGAATGCAAGCTACATTGAAAGCAGAGAATTTCGTTTGTTTTGTTCACTGTTCCCAGTTTTTACAACAGTGACTGGTACATGGCTACTGTTCAAAAAATATTTTGTGGGGCTGGGCTGGTGGCGCAGCGGTTAAGTGTGCACATTCTGCTTTCGTAGCCCAGGGTGCGCCGGTTCGGATCATGGGTGCGGACATGGCACCGCTTGGCACATCATGCTGAGGTAGGCGTCCCACATATAAAGTAGAGGAAGATGGGCACAGATGTTAGCTCAGGGCCAGTCTTCCTCAGCAAAAAGAAGAAGATTGGCAGCAGTTAGCTCATGGCTAATCTTCCCCCCCCTCCAAAAAACATTTGTGAATCAAAGTTTGCTTTAGTATCTTAAAGACTGTCTTAGGCTTTGTAATATAGGTGCCTTTTTCCAACTATTTAAAGTCATTAAAATCGAAACCCTATAAAATATGGTAGATTGGATACTGCATTGCCCACTGTTGCCATGGTTACACATCTCCCGCCGCGCGCCTGCAGAGAGTGGGGCGGGCTCTGGCAGCCCGTGTAACGCCAGGCTGAGAACCTCGTCTTTGACCATAGAGTTACGCCTCCGCGAATCCTAGAGGGCACTTCCGGAACGGCGCTCTCCTCGTCGCCGCCCAGGCCAATCTACGGTCCTGCGGGGAGCGGGCTCCCTCTCTTCCGCCGAGCTTCCGGAAAGCCTCTCGCGTGCGGCTGGAGCGGGGCGGGGCCGGCCCCCGCGAGCGCGGCCTTGTGATTGGCGAGAAGGGCAGGGGGCGGGCTCGGCCCTGGCGCAGGCGCGCTGGCCTGGCGCGGCGGTCCCGGGGGTCTCTTGGGCTGGTGCTGCGGGGACTGCGCCTGGTGAGCGTGGGTGACGGCGAGGGCGGAGGAACGGGCGGGGGACGGGGAGTGAGGAGAGGGCTGGCCTCTGGGCGCGGAGACCTAGGACCTTGGCTTCCGCTTTCCCACGTGCATCCTGTCCTTGGATCGGGGCGGGGTCACAGTCGCAGAAACTCTTGGCTAACAGTTTCGTCCGTGGTAAAACGAGGGGGGACTGCCTTGTCTACCTCGGGTCGTTGTGAGTGTCACGGTGTTCCTGGAAGGGCCAGCCCTGGAAAGGCCTTCGGGGATCACCTGGTGACTGAGCCAACCTTCCCATTTTACGTATGGGAAAACTGAGGTCGGGAAAGAGGAGTCAAATATTTGACCAGGGTCGCCCACCCAGTGAAGGCGGAGCCAGTTCTCAGAACCAGGTCTGGGTTTGCACAGCTGTTTTATGCAGCACGGCCCTTGATGGAAACTTCGTGGGAATTGGAGGCGGGGCCCTTGCCTTGCAGGTGTGGCCCTGCGTTCATCCCTGCTGTGTCGTTTGTGTCAAGTGCCCCCATGTCTCTGAGCCTCCCTCTTCTGTAAGTTGGGCATGATGATGACGATAATCGCAAACACTTGTGGACTTACTGTACCAGGCATGTTGTGAGCACTGCAGGCTCAGCTCTCCTGATTGGTTTACGGCCATTGTGAGTCAGAACCTTGAAAAGGGCCTGTGCTGGAAGGAGAGTGGGTGCTCTGTAAAAATTTATTGAATGATTGGGTGACTCAGAGGCTCTTTGCCAGAGCCTGAGGTGCAGGACACGTTAGTTACTGTATTGCTTTCAAGGTGTTGTCTCAATAACCTGGAACAACTGAGATAATAGTACTTATTCTCTAGTGTGTAAACTGACGGGTCTGGGGTCGGGCACACATTGGGAACTGGGGCAGAGGGCCTAAGGCTCTTATTTGAATTATCCAGATAGTTATCCCATTGCACCCCTCCACTTTGCTCTTTATTTCCTAATATATTTGATCAACAAACGTTACTAATAATAGCCTCAATATTAGACATTGTGCTGGGCCCTGGAATCTAAAAATATAGGAAACCTCATGAACTCCTAGCTTTATGGAGGAACACGACATCAGACATCATTCACTCCCAATGCCTGGCCGCAGCAGTTTCTCAAAAACATTTTTGAAAATTAGTCCCCAGTGCAGTAAACTATAAAGGGGTGTGTGCAGGGGGAGCACAGAGAAGGAAGTGACCGTCTCTGTCAGGGTTGGAGGCAGCTTCTTGCAGTACGTGAGCCTTGAGTGGTGAATTGGAGTTCCTGTGGGGAATGTGGCCTATTCTGGGAATGATGAGCAATTTGGGGCACATTCTGGGAGTGGTAGGATAAGAAGCTGGAAGAGGTGTGTTGGGATCAAAATATGAAGAGGCTTTAGTACCATTTTGAGAAAATTATGATGAGGAGCCATTAATGGGTTATAAGCAGGGGAGCAATTGATTCAACTATCTTTTTAATTGTAATATGAAGACTGGACAGACAGGGGTCAAGAGTCATTCAGGTCATTCATTGATAGACATTTATTCAGTGTCCGTTGTGTCCAGGCACCATGATGGATGCTGTGGATATAACCTGGAATAAAAGAGACATAGTTACTGCCCACCTGGACTTTACAGTCTAAATCAGAGTGAACAGTTAGCTCCCACAGTGGTTTTCCCAGTGTGGTCCCTGTGTGGACCAGCAGCATTGGCATCAGCTGGGAACTTGTTAGAAATACAAGTTCTTTGCCCACGCTCCAGACCTACTGAATCAAACTCTGGGAGTGAGGCCCCACAATCAGTGTTTTAACAAGCCCTCCAGGTGATTCAGGTGCTCGCTTAAATTTCAGAACCCCTGGGCTACTGTAATGTGGTGGGCAGTACTTAGGGGCCAACCCAAGGTTGAGGCAGTAAAGGCCAGAAAGGAGAGGGTGGGCTTGAGAGAAATCTTGGAGACAGAGTCATTTGCGTTAGGGAGAGTCAAGGATGGAGTTTCAGGCTTGGGCCACTGGCCTGAGGAGGGACCTCAAGTGATGGAGCCAGGTGTGAACCCCATGTGCCTGGCCTCCAGGACTGTACTTTTCTGTGCAGTCACACTAGGGCCCTGTGGCAGTGCCTGCCAAGCTTTTTCAGGTTGTAGGCCACGTGGGAAATGATAATATTTGTACAGTGCAGGGGGTAATGGATGCAGCCATGTGAGGTTGGAGGGGCCCAGCTGGAGGACTTGAGGCTGCAGAGAGCTGGAGTCACCACCTGGGGGAGCCCAGCTTCCCAGAGCTGGGAGGAGTCAGTAACCCGCTCTCGGCTGCTGCGGGGGAGCTTTGCAGAAGAGTAGAGGCGCTCACTAAATTTGGCAATATAAGTCAAGAACCTTGAAAGAGTTCATACCCTTTGACTCGATAATTCCATTCCTGAAAATCTCTCCCAAATATATAACCAAAAAAAAAGAAAAAGAAAGGAAAAAAGCCTTCTGTTCATTATAGATTATGTATAAAGAGAAAACTGACTATTCTCTGGTAGTAGAAGAATCGTTTTTGATATAGTCAGTCCATCAGTGGAAAGCTGTACTGCCCTCAGGAATGTGTGACTTTCATAAATTCGTAGAGAAACACACGTGCTCATTCACTAGACAGTGCCTGGCAGGCCCCTGCCATGTGCTGAGTGGAGAGCGGGTTACACATGGTCCTGGCCTGCACCAAGCTGACTGCGTGGGGAAGACAGGCCGCCACGTGGGCAGTGACTCCAAAGAGCGACTGGTGTTTGATAGGGCCTCAGCGGGCTGCTGCAGGAGAAGCTGGTCTCAGGGGATGGAAGTGGGACGAGGAAGCCATTCTAGAGGACGGGATGGTAATCCTGAGGCCTGGGGAGGAACTGATGTTGGTACGCAAAAGGGACAGCGTGTTTAAGAGTGAGTGTGGCACACAGGAGGGCGATTGGTGAGACAGGACCAGAGGGGGCTGGCAGCCAGCTCACCTAAGGTGGTGTGCACCATGAAGGAGAAAAACTTAGACCTGATTCTAAGGGTAGCAGGAAGCTTTTAGAGGACTTTAGGCAAGAAAAACTGTTACTGTACAAGTTTTGGAAGTGTCCCCTGTGGCTGCAGCGTGGAGAATGGATTGGAGGAGGCTAGGGATGGAAGCTGGGAGCCTAGTGAGGAGGCTGTTGGAATAGCCCAGGTGAGCGTGCTGGTGGCCTGGAGCCGGGCGGAAGCTGTGGAGGGGGGAGAGGGGACAGAATGAACAGCACATGAAGCGGGAATGACAGACAGGGCCCAGAGGGTTGTGAATGTGGGCAGAGTGGGTGAAGCCGGGTTTCTGCTTTGGGCCAAGGGTGGCTGGCAGTCCCTTGCCGAGGGATCCCAGCCCCAGAGGGGGAGCGGGTTTGCAGGGAAGATGCTGAGTTCCTCCTGGGGTGCCGAGTTGGAATTCCGTGCAGTGTGTTCTCCAGGAGGCAGCTGCAGAGGCAGGTCTGAAGCTCGAGAGACACGTACAGACTGGAGATGTTGATTCCAAGTCATCAGCACGGGGCCTGACCAGGGAGCGTGTGCTGTGAGGAGGGAAGAGGCGCAGGACATTTAAGGCGGGATGTGGGCAAAGGACAGGGCTGGCCAAAGAGACAGCAGCGGTTGTCTCCAGCCAAGGAATTATAGTTGATTTCCTTTTCTTTTCTTTCTTCCTTCTTCTCTTTTTTTTTTTTTTTTTTTTGCTGAAGGAGATTTGCCCTGAGCTAACGTCTGTTGCCAATATTCCTCTTTTTGCTTGAGGAAGATTCGCCCCGAGCTAACATCTGTGCCAACCTTCTTCTGTTTTGTATGTATGTGGGATGCCTCCACAGCTTGACTGATGAATGGTGCAGGTCTGTGCCCAGCATCCAAACCCATGAACCCAGGCTGCCAAAACGGAGCATGCCAAACTTAACCACTAGGCAGTGGGGCCAGCCCCTGATTTCCTTTTCTTTTTTGTTTCTGTTTTTTCCAGTTTTCTATAACAATAGCGAACATTGATTGAGCTCATAGAATGGGCCAGGTACTGTTCTAATAACTTTTTATAACTCTTCTAACTTCCTACAATAAACCTACAAAGGAGGTCCTGTGGTGTTACCATCGTGCAGATGAAGAAACCAAGCACACGTGCTGAGCTCCACGGGGTCAGTCAGCAGGAGGCCCACCTGGAATCCTGGCTGCCCGGTTCCAGAGTCTGAGCAGTCACCATGTGCAGCGTCCCCCGCAGTGTGCTGTTATGTTTGTATAAATGGGGAAATAGTGATTTGTTTTTTAATGGCAGTAAGAGCTAAGAGAAGTAATCCTTTGATCTGCTGGGATATTAGAAATGAGAGGATTTGCGTCTGCAAAACCAGGGGCTGTCTTAGAAGCTTGTTGGAGACCAGACCAAGCTGGCTGCCTCCTGGTTTCGGAACACAGTTAACACTTATTTCCGCACGACTCATTTCTCTCCAGGCACCAGCGTGTCCCTGTGCCAGGGTGTCATGGAAGGGCTGCTGACAAGATGCAGAGCACTGGCCGCCTGCAGCCGCCAGCTCTCTGGGTCCATTCCCCGCAGGTTTCACCACTGTGCCCCAGGGAGAGGGAAGCGCTTGGTGCTCTCCCGCATGTTCCAGCCACAGAACCTTCGAGAAGACCAGGTGCCCTCCCTGGAGGGTGGATCTGGCGACCTGACCTGTAAGAGCCAGCGGCTCATGCTGCAGGTGGGCCTCATCCACCCAGCAAGCCCCGGCTGTTACCACCTCCTGCCGTACACTGTCCGTGCCCTGGAGAAGCTTGTGCGAGTGATAGACCAGGAGATGCGGGCCATCGGGGGCCAGAAGGTCAGCATGCCTAGCCTCAGCCCGGCAGAGCTCTGGCGAGCCACCAACCGCTGGGACTTGATGGGCAAGGAGCTGCTGAGACTTAGGGACAGACACGGCAAGGAATACTGCTTAGGACCAACTCACGAGGAAGCCGTTACAGCCCTGGTCGCCTCCCAGAAGACACTGTCCTACAAGCAGCTTCCCTTCCTGCTGTACCAGGTGACGAGGAAGTTTCGGGATGAGCCCAGGCCCCGCTTTGGTCTTCTCCGCGGACGAGAGTTCTACATGAAAGACATGTACACCTTCGACTCCTCCCCAGAGGCCGCCCGGCAGACCTACGGCCTGGTGTGTGATGCCTACAGCAGCCTGTTTGCCAGGCTGGGGCTGCCGTGTGTCAAAGTCCAGGCCGGCGTGGGCAGCATCGGGGGCACGATGTCGCACGAGTTCCAGCTGCCAGCGGATGTTGGAGAGGACCAGTTTGCAGTCTGCCCCAGCTGCAGCTTCTCGGCCAACGTGGAGACACTAAACTTGTCACAGACAAACTGCCCTGCTTGCCAGGGACCGCTGACGGAAACCAAAGGCATTGAGGTGGGGCACACGTTTTACCTGGGCACCAAGTACTCTTCCGTTTTCAATGCCCAGTTTACCAACGTCCACGGCAAGCCATCCCTGGCTGAAATGGGGTGCTATGGCTTGGGTGTGACCCGGATCTTGGCTGCTGCCATTGAAGTTCTCTCTACAGAATACTGCCTTCGCTGGCCCGGCCTCCTGGCCCCTTACCAAGTCTGCCTCATCCCCCCCAAGAAGGGCAGTAAGGAGGAGGTGGCCACAGAGCTCGCGGGGCACCTGTACGACCACATCACAGAGGCGGTGCCGCAGCTTCGCGGGGAGGTCCTGCTGGACGACAGGACTCATCTGACCATTGGAAACAGACTGAAAGACGCCAACAAATTTGGCTACCCCTTCGTGATCATCGCTGGCAAGAGGGCCCTGGAGGCCCCTGCACATTATGAGGTTTGGTGCCAGAACACTGGAGAGGTGGTCTTCCTCACCAAAGAAGGGGTCGTGGGATTGCTGAGCCAAGTGCAGGTTGTCTGAACCCGGGCCTGTCTCACAGCCGTGCCGTCCATTCCAACACCGTCTCTTCCTGCACTCCTTTCCCGGGCTGGTCTCCCCAGAAATGGGGCGGCCCAGGGAAGGTGAGACCGTGTTATGTTTATGTTTATATTCCATTGTGGAAGCTGCTTTTAGGAGGCAGAGAGGCAAGAAGGAGCCGAGTTCTCATCGTGGCCCTTAGGCAAGTTGCCTTTCTCGTCTCAGTTGAGTCCTGGCTGATGGCCGAGGCCCTCCGGCTCTGGCTATTCAGCCATGCGCCTCTTGCTGCATTCGGTCTGGAGAGCAGGCCCACCAGCCCTCCTTCACTTGGTCATGTCCTGCCCCTGCTGGGGCCTCAGTTTCCCCATCTGTGATGTGGGAAAATGGAACTAGATCTATAAAGTTTAATGGCTGTCACTGGCGGGTTCCACAAGAGGTTGGTGGCTGGCAGACCTGGTTCCTCTGCTCCTCCATAGTCTAAGCTACACAGAAGGTTAGTATAATTAGCTAATGGCCCAGAAACACCTCTGGACACCTGGCTCTGTTGAGGCAGCCGAGCACTGAGACTGGTCTGTGGATTGAGTAGAGTCGGCCTATGGGGTGAGCCTTGCACGTCTGATTGTAACGTGGTGCCAGCCGCCGTTTCAGCAGTGCGGCAGCTTCCCACCTTGAGACTTTTTTCTTCGGTTTCTACACTCAAAAAAAAAAAAAATTGGGTGGCTGGGAAAATGTTTTAAACCATTTCTTCTCACAAATATCAGGGATAGCAGGCTTCACGTGCCACTGTGACCTTGTCCCAGGGGCAGAGCTGGATCCTGGAGCCACAACAGGGGTGCATATTAAGGTCTTTGCCTGAATTCTCTGGAAGATGGAGCAGACCCGAGCTGCCCCGGCAGTGCCACCCGCTTTCGTTGCTCCTGCTCACCAGCTCACCCGCTCGGTGTCTCGGCACGCCCGAATCTAACAGGAATCTGTCAAGGCCAAGCTCAAGGCCGGTGCCTGCTGAAGACATGCTGGTGGCCCCTGGAAGTGGTTTTCCCTCTGCCCCAGCACTTCGGTCCAGCACTGACAGCATCCTTGCTGGGTGCACACCGCTCACCGTTAGCGACCAGCCTCTTGTAGTTGGTGGTCAGCTCCCTGAGGCCAGGGTCCTGGCTGGTTCCTAGCCCACTGCAGTTCTCTCGTCTTGGCCACTTGTTCCACCTGCCAGCTTCCCAGCAGCCTGTTAGTGCTAGAGGGCCCTCACCCCCACGCTCACACATGAGGTTACCAAGTGAATGTGCGTGACCAGGCCTTAGTGGCTCCAGGCCTGCCATTGGAGCTCTTGGCCCAGCATCCAGGCCAGAAGATGTGGATTCTGAGAGCCGACCCAAGAAGGAGAGATTGTAAAGCAGGGGGTCGTACCCTTGGCTGCACATTGGAATCCCCTGGGTCCCACCAGAGGTTGTGCTCTGGGCTGTGGCCTGGGCGTTGGGCACAGTGAAGCTCCCCGGGGGATCCTAACGCACAGAGTGGATCGAGAGCTCCCGGTGGACAGGGAGCGCCTTCTCTGAGGCCACTTTGTAGCTGAGCGTTTCTCTGGGTAATTTCGGTTGTACATTATCAGACGGATATGAGCTCTCTGCTTGTAATGGCCTCGCCGTCATCTGTTGAGGACTGCCCTGTGCCACTGTGCCGTGAGGCACTTTTATGTACCGTTTTCAGACCTTAAAACCGCAAGGTAGGTGCACCTATTCTCATGTTACAGCTGAGGAAACCTGAAGCTCCGTTGAAGCAACTTACCCAAGCCGTAGGTGTCAGAGCTGGAATCCAACTGTTGACCAAAACCTGTGCCCTTCCCACTGCACGGCACGGCCCCTGCCTGGGCAAAAGTGATTGCAGTAAATAAAACTGAGTTAGTTTGTCTGTCTCATCAAATTAGCCTACAGTAGGTGAGAAATTAGAGTTTGTGTGGATGACTGCTTTAAGTTGTTTTTTTTTTATTTTAAATTTGTGCTCCATAAGCTTCCTTACTTTTGGAAGGCTAGCCTAATGTAAGCACTTTAAAAAGCCAGATTCCAGGAATAGAGAACCAATTAATTTTAAACTCTTCGTAAATGTGTGAGTTATAGAATGATTGAGGACGTTGTGGAATCGTGGAACTTAGATCAGAGGAGAACTCGGAGCCCGCCTGTCCAGCCCTCCTTTCACACGTGGGAAGCGGGCCTGGAGTGGGAATTAACCTGCCGCATACCATCTGATTGGCAAAAGGCCTGACTGCAGGCCAGGTGCCACGTCCCCTAAATCGGGCCACCTCCCGTCGATCTTGTTGCGTTGAGAGGTCTGGCTGGATCAGCCTTTGAGCTACAAAGCCTTATAGGTGTGAAGCAGGTACCCATCCTCTTTTTTGCAATAAATAGACAAATACAGGGAGTACAGTGATTTGCCCAAGGTCAAGCTGAACTGCAACCAAGGTGTCCCAGCTGCTAAGCCAATGTTTCTTCTAGAAGCCGAGGGCGCTGTGATTCAGTGGAGGATCAGAACCGTGAAGAGACATAATCCTAGATCCACCACTTACCAGGGATGTGACCTTAGACAAATTACTTGCCCTTTGTGTGTCTCAGATTCTTCATCTCTACGATGCACACGTGGCAATGGCACCACCTCCCATCCTTGTCCTGGGGTCGCTGAGCCTGCTTATATGAAGCGCTTAACCTTAGTGTGCTCTCAGGAATCACCTCCTTCATGCCAGACGGCTTAGGAAGTGCGCCCATCGGAGCTCAGGTTCTGCTGGTAACTTGATCTCCAGACTCGGATCTTCTGTTCTCAATATGGTGCTTTTACCTTCCTGGGGAATGCCATCAGCAAGAAGTAAGTAACGCCTGTGGGATGGCTCCACCTCCTTAGGGAGAGACAGAAATATTCGAACTGCGTACCTTACTCTTTCCTTCCTAACTTGCCAATGTTACCTCTTGCCATAAATTGATGAAATGGGGATGCTGGCAAAATAACAGGTACAAGCAGGTACAGGCTGTATTATCATTGCTCATTCCTTGGGGAGGTCTGGAACCAACCAGCTGGGAAATATTTAGCAGAATAAATACTTGGGGACAAAGGCTGCTGCATAACAAAACCATTGTGTAAATCTCACTTAGAATGTAAATTGAGGGCTCCATTAATATTCTGTGTTTTAATGGAAGAAACACCTGCTGGGCCATCAATAAAGGAGCTTTGCAGAGATCTGTTGAAATTGTCATTTCCTTAACTGCTTGAGTGCCAGGCCTGCTCGCAGAGTTCCCACCATCCACTTCTGCAGAGACGCCAGAGTGCTTTCTAGAATGGACTGCTGTGCATCCGAGGGCACGTAAGGCTTTGTGTTAGAGTTAGGAAAAGTTTTTATAATGTGGAAAGTTTTCTGTAATTTGGAAAATGGGAAAATATTTTTATGATGTTATTGCAAACTGAAGGAATATTTGAAAAACGTCAAGGTACTTCACTTATTTTAGAATAATGACTTACATCATAGTGACGCAGGCTGCAGACTCCAGAGTCAGACTGCCTGGGCCACTCCGTAGCTGTGTGACCTTATGCCAGACACTTCCTCCTTCCTGCCCTTCCTGTCAGAAGGAGGGCAGCAGTGCCTGGCGCCCAGCAGGTGCTCAGTGAGTGAGCCACCCTTACATTAGGCCAGGTAGCCCTTTGCACCCAGTAGGTGGTGGATGGTGTGTGGGGCCAGCAGAATGGGGTGGCACCTTTAGGCTCACCTCCTTCAGGCACCACCACCTCAGTGCAGGGATGGTGGCCACTCCTATAAGCCAGCAGCTCCGAAAGCTGCTAATGAGCTTCCGTGGTTAAAGGTCTGTTGCCCTTGACTAATGAAAACTGTAGGGCCAAGAGAGTGGCGAGGAGGCCCTGACTAGTTAATGGTAACTGAAGATGCCCCGTTTGCAAGGGTGGAATTTGTTACCCAGCCTCACGCAGAAACCTTGTGGCTGGCAGGAGCCCTGTTGGCAGGGTGTCAGGTGCTGTGGGGATTCGGCTGGGGACCCTGGGAGGGCTTTCTGCAGACTCTGGGTTCTTCTGCCCAGGTGGACAGGTTGGGGACCCTGCATGACAGTGAATGCCAGACTTTGCCATGACCTTGGAGTGAGCAGGCCAGGGCCGCTGGGTCTACTGCCAGCTTCTCGACGGCGGGGCCCAGTCTTGTTACTATTAATAGCTCCTGAAGGGCTTAGGGGCATCCCGAATTCAACTTGTGGCTACTTTTCACTAGCTAACTGACTTTAGGCGAGTTACTTACCCTCTCTGTGCTGCTTTTCTTATCAGTAAAAGGGTGTTGGAAAACTGCTTGCCTCCTAGAGGTGCTGGAGGATTAAGTGAGCCAGTCCCCATGGAACACCTGGAATGCAGCCTGGTTTATCCGACGTGCTCGGTAGATGGCAGCTGCCATTCCCGAGCCAGGCCAGCATTGTACTGCCCCTGACTATGTCCTTCCAGGCTCCTGGCCTTTGCTTAAAGGCCCTTCCACCTCACCCCTCCCCTAATTCCTTCTTCAGCTCCATGGCCCACAGCCATCACACGTGGGGACTTCTACTCCGATCTGATCAGAATTCATCACTCCTTCCTCTGTGTCATCGGTCAGTAATTATTTGTTGTCCACCGCCTCTGTGTTAAGCAGGTGCTGTGCTAGAGTAAAAAGTACCCGGTTCAGGGTCCTGACTCAGTTTACAGAGAAGTGGGAGGAACCATCCAGTAAGCAGACAATTATAATGCAGTGTGGTAAGCAGTGATCGTGCAGGTGTGATGGGACATGGGATAAGGGGCCAGGAGGGCTTCCTGGAGGGGGCAGCCAGGCGTGATTGAAAACTAGGTGTTAAATAGTAAAGGGAGGAACAGTTGGGAGTGTAGGGTGGGGAACAAGTGGGAGTGAGACTGTTCCAGGCAGAGGGAACAATGTGCAAAGGCCCAAAGCTAAGAGCATGGCAAGATTAGAGAATAATGTGTCATAGATTGAACACTTAGTATGAGGTAAGCTCTGTCCCATGTGCTTCACAGAGATTAATTCCTTTAATCCTCACAGCATCTGCATGAGGTAGGTGCCATTGTCCTCGTGTTGCAGATGAGGAAACGGAGGCACAATGTCTAAGCAAAGCGCCCAAGGCCGTACAGCTGGTGAGTTGTGGGCTGGAATTGGAAGGCAGGCCGCCTGGCTCCAGAGCCAGTCCTCAAAGCACTGCCCCTCCTGCCCTATGGCTGAGCCGGTCCAGGATCCTGGGCTCCGGAGGTCAGGGAGAGGAAGCTGCAGGAGTGCCAGGGCCAGACCCTGAAGGTCCTTGAATGTCACCTGAGAGTGTTGATGAGGGAACAGGGAGCCACTGAGGGCTTGGGGCCAGGGCGTGGATAGACTTGCTCGTGGCTGTGTCTCCCCTCATTGGAGGAGGTCCCAGCCCAGGGTCAGACTTACGACGTCCACTCGTCCACTCGACAGCGTGACCTTGAAGGCAGATGCTGCCTGGTGCACTTTGCCCTAAGCCCTGCCCTTGGTTGGTGCCGGTTCAGTGTGCAAAGCAGAACACGGGGACAGGGATGAGGCGGCAGGTGGGCTCTGGGGCAAGGTGCTTAGGTTCAAATCCTGCCTCTGACACTCCCGTGGAGACTGTGTGCCCCCAGCTCCTTGTTTATAAAATTGGGATCACAGCCCTGAGAGGCTGGCTGCTGGGATCAAAGGAGAGAATTCAGGTACATGGTTTGCACAGTGTCAGAACTCAGGATGCTGGGGCCTTGGCCTTGCCCTGCCTCCTCTCTGGGCCTCAGTTTCCTCATCTGTAAAGTGGGGCAGAGAAGGGTTGAGTCCGTAAGGGAGCTCTGACTCAGCTCTGCTGGAGTCCCAGGAATGGGCAGGTGGCCAGGGAGGTACCCAGAGAAAGCCAGGCCCACATGCCCTGCTGGATGCTTCTGGTTCGCAGGCCACCTGTCCTCAGCCCTGCCCTGAGGAGGGGAGTGCCCGGGGCCCTTTCCCCACACTCCCCACTTGGCTCAGCCCGCCTGCCCAATGCAGCAGCGGGGCCATGAGCTCTCAGTAAGTGGGGCAGGGTGAACCACCTGGAGCCTCAAGCCGGCTGGGAAATGCCGACTGAGCCAGGAACCATTGAGGGGTAGGGGCGGGGCTGGGGGGCATGTGCGGCCTTCAGGGACCCCTGCTCCCCGCCCCAGCCAAATTCTAGTCCTAACCTCCACAGGCCCGCTCGGAAGTCTGTGCCTGTTCCACTCTCCCGGCAACTAAAGAGGATGGCAGAGGTCAGAGGCAGCGGAAGCAGGGGAGGCCTGGAGCCTTCCTGGAGGAGGTGTAAGCCAGCCACGTTAAGCTTAAGCCTGGGAATGCGGTTGCTGATGCTTGTGTGCCTGCAAGTGAGGCTTTGGAACAGGACTGGTTTATTGTTTTTCACTCATTAGTTCCTTCATTCGTTCATTCATCCGTCCACTCGGCATGCTCACACTCAGCTCCCACGGGGTCAGGCCTGGGCACTCAGACAAATCCCCTGGCGCCTGCGCACTGAGAGCCTGCCACCTGGAAGGTCTAGTGCAGCGTTTCTCAAGCTCAGCATTTTCGACAGTTTGAGCAGGTAACTCTGTTGGGGCTGTCCTGTGCACTGTAGATGTGTAGCAGCATCTCTGGCCTCTACCCACTAGATGCCAGTAGCACCCCACCGTGTTCTGACAGCCAGAAATGTCTCTAGACATTGACAGGTGTCCCCTGGGTGCACCGTTGCCCCTGGTTGAGAATCACTGGTCTAGTGCTACTGGTCTGCAGAGATGTGCCCCTGGGGATAGTTCACCGGAGTTAAGAGCTAGTCACTGAGTAATTATGTGCCAGGCACTGGACTGAGCGCTTGGCATACAGCATGTGCACAGAGGTGCCCTGGAGGAGCCTATGAGGGGGTACAGTGAATCACTGTCCAGATGGAAGAGGCTCCAAGCAGCAGGCTCTTACTCAGGCACAGCAAGTCAGCGGCCACCAGGCCCCACTCTGGTCTAACAGTCTAAGTCTCTCTTCTCGCCTTCCCACTTCTGCCCCACCCTAGCTAGAGGGAGGAGCAGGGACTGCAGGGAAGGTGGAGCGGAAGCTGGTGGATGACCCAGCCTGCCTGCCAGGAGCCTTCTGAGGGCTGTGTGATGAGGAGGAAGGTCATTTAACGACCCTTGTCAGGTGTGCATATTTCGAATGTACAACTCACTCTCATGTGATATCTCACCCCAGCCTCAGTGTCCAGGAAGGGGGCAGGGAATGAGTCTGTGTCACAGATGAGTCCGGTGGCACTCTGGAACCTGCTTTGCCCTGTGACAGTGAGGTTGGCTGCTCCAGGGAACCCTGCAGTGTGTGCTAGGGTTGTTGTAACGAGACGTCAGGCCTCTTACACAAAGTGCTGAGTTCTTACAAAGAGATCCAAGCGAGGAGTCTAGCTGGGGAGTGAGAGAGAGTGGCCTCAGTATGGCCTAAGCCAGGCTTAGGATGGAGGCTGGACTTCTGTTTGCTGCCACAAGCCACAGGCAGGGACCTGCAGCTGGAAGGACAGCTGCATGGTTTGTATAAATATTCCACAGCAAATTGTCCTTCAAAGACAATGAAGCACACAGCACAAAACCCCAAATGAGTCCATCGTAAGGACAGCAGCTGGTTTCAGTTTAATGATGTATTAGTTAGCTTTGCTATAGTAACCAGCTCCAAATCTCAGTGCTTATTACTACAACAAACACTTATTTCTCATTCATGTTACAATCAATGGCTGCAGGCCAGCCGCATCAGCTCTGCTCCGCGTGTCTTACCATTCTGGCACAGAGGCTGAAGGAACAGCCCCTATCTGGGAAGTAGGTTCTCATGGCAGAGGGGAAAGAGCACTCTGGCCCCTCGAGCTTCTGTGTGGACACGTCTGCTCACGCCCCCTGTCAGGAGCAGGGAAGTGCGTTCCTCCCTGGGGAACGCACTGCCAGGAGTCCTTTGGCTCCAGGTAAGGAGACATAAAGTCCTCTAGGAAGGAGGGGCAAACAGCTGCAGACAAAAATAGAACCTACAACAATGACAGCATGCAAAAAGATTTTCCAGTTTAAAAGGCACAAAATCCTAAAATGTGAAAACTGGAGAGGCACTCAGAGTCCACTGTCCACGTCTGTCACGGTTCTCCATACTGCAGAGATCAAGAAAACTGGCAAACTGTTTAGGGGTTCTGGAAGATCCCAGTTTGTAGGCTTTATGGCTGCAGAGCCAGGACTCGGCTCTCCTCACCCCAAGGCACCTGCGGCATCCCCACGGAGCACCCTCTGTGCTCGTGGAGTGCCTGGAGGCCGGGGGCTCTTCAGTGCCCTAAAATGACACGTGTGGTTTGCGGGCATGTGCGGCTGGAGGGGCAGCTTCTCGAAGGCCTCTAACTCCACAAAGGTTCAGAACCGTGTCACTGGACCCTGCCTCTGGCCACAGGCCAGTGAGTCCCTCGGGTCAGGTGCTGCGGAACTGCAGCAGACGGTCCCTTCGGAGATGGAGGCTCGTGGTTAACACAGCTCACAGTGAGTCCCAGGATGTCATGACCGAGAAACGGAGTTTTGTATCAGAGGAGGAGAGTGAAGACCAGCTGGACTCAGCACTTTGACCCGAAGGGCGGCAGTTCAGGGAAGTCAGCAGCTCCTGCCCAACCACGATGCGAGGAAGGACTGTCCCCAGGGTGACAGAAATAAGAGTCTGTCCAGCTGATTTATGCTGGATTCCAGGCAGAGGAGGGTGAGGGAGGAGATCCAGGGGGCCTGGCTCCCACAGCCTGGCTCCGTCACTTTACCTGGTGTACCTTTCTCCCCTGGAGATAATTCCTACAGAAAGGAGAGGATCCTACGCAGACCAAAAATGCCGGGGTCAGGGCTTTTACAAAGTACCTGAAGTGAATACAACAAAGAGAGGGATTAACTGAATTGCAATCTTAATCATCCATGGACCTTCCCAACAACACTCAAGGTGAAGCTTTGGATGCGAGTCAACATTAAAAGGCAAGTTTGGCACATTTATTTGGTTGATTGTTTATAAATCTGGCAGATTAGCATGACCCTCTCCCCCTTACAACCTAGCCAGAACCTTTGGGACAGTCCCCCAGCATCACATGCATCCATGGCTAAACATGAAATAAAACTACAAGAACATGCTGTTATTCACTTATTCAACAATGAGTGTCCACAGTAAGACAGGCCCTGTGCTGAAAGCAGAGATTAAAAACAAACAAAAACCACTGTCCCTGCTCTCATGTCTTGGGGGAGGGAGATAAATAATCGATTAATGATAGCAAGGCACAACTGTAGAAGCATTTGTGTGGCACAGTGTTAGTCCAAGGGGCATGCTTCTCTCTAAGGGAAAGGCTTCCTGGAAGATGCCATGTCTGAGCTTGACTTTAATTTGGAAAGGGGCAGTGAAGGGGCATGGGGAGCAAAAGCCACAAGGTGCAGGTCACCAGGGCGTTTGCTGCTGTTGGGGAATAAAGCAAACAGAGAGGGGTAGCCTGGAGAGGTGGGCAAGGCCTTGGCCTCCCAGGTTGAGGGGTGTCAGCATTACCCAGGGGACTTGGACCTGGACAGGGGCCTGTAATTTGGCTCCACCCAGTTCAGGATCTGAAGCTGCCAGAACCCTGTCCTGGGTAGCCTCTTGCCGTGCTAGTCATTTAAAACATAATCACTCCCAACAGCATTTGCATTTTCTGAGAAGCATGAAATTGTTTTTCCTCCACAGGTCAATCTGCTTTCTGTTTAGATTTCTCCCCCATCTTTCTGGAGATGGGGAAGAGTGGACCTCAGGCCCTTCAAGAATTCTGGGTAATTTGCCAACAATGAGAAAATGAACAGCTACAACTCTGTCTATAAACTAGAAGGGAGATTTGGGGCCAGAAAAAAACACTGCCAAGAGAAGTCATTGATCATATCTGAAGAAATCTTCACCTCCAACCTGCCAGGCCAAAGCAGAAGCCTCTAGACCAGCTGGACACCCTCACCGAGTCAGTCACCACATCACCAATTCCCCTCCAGTCTGCCTCCTAAACCACTCTCCAATCGATCCCCCACTTCAGGCCTCACCATCAAATAGTACACTTAAAATCTGTACATTACTTGTAAATTTTACCTAAATGAACACCCTCTGTGGCTCCACACACCACCATCAGGAGCGAGTTCACATCCTCAGCAGGGCATTCGAGGCCTTCACGCATGGCCCTAACTTAGCTCTCCAGCCTCATGCCCATCACACCCAGCACCCTCGGTCCCCTAACACACTGGGCTCTTAGCCGACATACAGAGCATCTGCTTTGCTCAAAGCTTAGGGAAAAGCTGTCCAAGACTCAACTTATAAATTTACTGAGGGCACTCCCTTATAGTCCAGGACACCTCAAAGCTGAAGAAAGAGACCACGACCAAATCTACTGACTGCCACCACTACTAACAAAGATGCCCTCTTACAGGAGGTCAGCCCTTCACGGTTTACAAGAGCACTTCAACTTCTCTCTCATTGGCACTCAAATACCTGAGAAGTATGTAGGCAAGAGCTATTAGTCCCACTCTAGAGGTGAGGAAACAGCCCCAGGGAGGGAGTATGTGCTTGGAGTCACACAGCCAGTAAAGGATGGTGTCTGACTTCAAGAACCAGTGCTCTTTCCACATAATATTGGGGACACAAGCATAGGAGGGCAATCCCAGCTGTCTTCAGGTACAAAAGTCAGGCAGCTTTTCCCTTCTCAGCCCAGCCCTGTCCAGTTCTCCCAGTCTGAGGGTGTCATGGCTGCAGTGCAAACACTGCAACCTGTTTGGCTAACCGCCCGGGCGAATCTCCATGGCTGCCGTCTCACTCAGTTTTGTGTCCAGGGCAGAGGGAGGGGCAACCAATCAGCAGTGGCATGAGAAGCTGGCTGTATCCCTGAGATGGTGCCTGCGCATCACTCAGCCCCAGGAAGGTGACTCACCTGGGGTGCTGCAGCACTCGCAGCAAGGTGCTCTTGGGAGGCACCCGGTACAGTTCTGCCCTGTCCTCATCCTCAAAGTAGACCTGCAAGATGAACAGAGGAGCAGGAGTCAGATATAAATACGGGGCTTCGGTAGCACTAGGCACATTGAGGCCAAGTCTAGGGAGAAGTTAAAGAGAGGCAACTGTTATTAGTCGAATGCCTCCTTACAGAGCTGTGCAGTATAAAGCACTCAGTCCTCCCCATGACACTAAGAAAGATATTACAGCTCCATTTTCCAAAGATAGAACCAAGGCTCAGAGAAAGGAAATAACTCACCAAAAAAGCCCCACTAGTAAACAAGAGGAGCCAAGACTCAAGCCCAGGCCTATGAGCTTTTCCACCCCTAACAGTTTGGTCCTAGAGCCATTAGGTGTGGGGGAAGAAATCCAGGATGGCCCAGAGCAGGGGAAGAATCCGACCAGGGTGAGAAGGATGTCCAGGCAGGGGACAGCCCTGTGCAGGTGTCCAAGCCCAAGCAGGGTGAGGAAGATGTCTGCACAAGAGGGCTGCAGGGGGGTGAGTTGTGTCAGAGCCCGGCCAGTGGAGGAGGGTATCCTCATGGGGGCCGGCCAGTCTAAGCAGGGTGAGAAGGGCTCCCTTGTAAGATAGCTGTCCAGGGCGGGTATGTGAGCCCATGTGGGGTGAGGAGGGTGTCCATGCTTGCGGACAGCTGATAGGGGGTGTCGGGGCCCAACCAGGGTGAGGAGGGCAACCACTCATGGCAGGGCGTGGCCTGTTGGGGAGTGAGAACCCAAGCAGGATGAGGAGGATGTTCAGGCAGGGTGGTTGAGCAATGTGGGGTGTCAGAGTGTGCATAGGATGAGGACGGAACCCATGCTGGGGCAGGAGCCTGATGTGAGAGTCAAGAGGCCAAGTAGGGTGAGGACGGTTCCCTGTGGGAGACGGGACAGTGGTGTTGACAGGAGGAGAATTAAATATAGGGGGAGTGATCAAACTAACAAATATATGAAGAATAGAAGCCACTGTTACAAATAGAAAAAGGGAGAAAATAGATCCTGTGGTGTTGGATTAGAATTGGAAATGTCAGTGAGACCTCATGTTTTCTCTCTCTTTCTCTCTCTCTCTCTCACACTCACTCACACGCACACACACACACACACGGCACTGGAGCAGTGAGCACCCCCCCCCCCGCCCCTATACTTATGAATACACCTATTGCACAGATCTTGGTTCTAAATACCATTTTCCATGAGAAAGAACCAGGACTCCTTGGGAAAAAATAGCTGATTCCAGAGCTGGGGCAAGGGAAGCACAATTTGCCAGAAAGCAAGGAAGTGCGTAAAAAATGAAGACAAGTCAAAAGGACACAGAAACAAATTTGAAGGGATTTCCATTGGCCAAAGCTGGGCTAATCTGAGCATAACATAATCATAGTAATAGATTATAACTCAATGAATCAAACAGGAAACCATAAATCCACTGATATAGATATAAATAAATGATTATGTTGAAGGCCTGATGAACAATGGGACATTTATATCATTTCAAAGCAGCTCCCTATAAAATACTAATTACAAAGGGGCAGAGAGTAACTTTACAGTAGAGAAGCCTGGCAGACCCCACCTCAATCAGGTGATCAAAGTGAACATTGTCAGTTATGGGACAGATTGAAATCATGCACCTGATAGGCTGCAACAAGAACGCAGCATTACTTCTGTGATGTTCCAGTCAAATATGCATAATCCAGATCTAGTCATGAGGAAACACAAGACAAACCCGCACTGATGGACTTTACACAAAATAACTCGTCTGTAGACCACCAGCTCTGGGGGGCTCACAGTTAAGACTGGGCACTCTCACCACCGGGGCCCACGTTCACTTCTGGTCAGGGAACCACACCACCGGTCTGTCTGCTGTCAACTGTGGCGGCTACGTCTTGTGATGCTGAGAGCTGTGCTACAAACACCAGCAGGGTCACCCATGGTGGGTGGCTTTCAGCAGAGCTTCCAGACTAAGGCAGATTAGGAAGAAGGACCTGGCCACCCACTGCCAAAAAATTGGCCATGAAAACCCTATGAAGAGCAGTGGAGTGCTGTCTGATATAACACTAGAAGGGGAGAGGATGGTGCAAAAAGACCAGGCTGGGTTCTGCTCTGCCGTACACAGGGGCGCCAGGAGTCAGCATCAACCTGATGGCACTAACAAAATCTTCAAAAATGTTGAGATCAAGAAAGTCGAGGAAAGACTTAAGAAACTCTTCCATCACCTGAAGGAGACTAAAGGGACATGACCAACAAGTACAAAACAAAGTAGGATTCTCGACAGGTCGCCTTGCCATAAAGAGCATTCCTGGGACAATTTGTGAAACGGAATGAAGTCTGAGGATTAGATGGTACTTAGTGTATCAACATTAATTTCCTAATTCTGATGGTCGACTGGGATTGTGAAGGAAAATGTCCTCGTTTGTAGGAAACAGACAGTAAAGTATTCAAGGGTGATGGGGCATCAGCTGGCATCATACTCTCAAATGGTTAGAAGACAAATTCTTTGCACTGTGAGTTGTGATTATTTTCTTTTAAATCCCAACAATAGAATATTATTCAGCCTTAAAAAGGAAGGATTTCCTGACACGTTACAACATGGATGAACCTCGAAGACCTTTTGCTAAGTGAAATAACCTAGACACAAAAGGACAAATACTGTATGATGCCACTTAGATGAGGTACCTAGAGTAGTCAGATTCACAGAGACACAAAGAGTGTTGGTTGCCGGGGCAGGGAGAGGGGAAATGGGGAGTTAGTTTAATGGGTATAGAGTTTCGGTTTGAGATGATGAAATGGAGAGGGATGGTGCTGATGGATGCACAACAATGTGAACGTACTTAATGTTACTGAACTGTGACTTTAAAAATGGTTAAAATGTAAATGTAAAATTTATGTTCTGTATATTTTACCACAATTTTTTTTTAAAGGCAGTGAAACCTTGCCCCCCAACCAAAAAAATCCCATAGAGGAACACAATAAAACTTCTCTTACCTCTAAATTATCAGGGCAATATTTTTGCTCTAAGTCCCAACAGGGCGTTTCACCAAACATCACCATTAGATGATCAATAAACCTATAGATATAACATGTACTTTCTGGGTATCAATAACTCATGATCGCTCTATTTTCCCACATCACAGTCCCCAGACACGAATTCACAGAGACATCAAGAATGTATAAAACATGAAATGCAGGCTTAAGCCATTTTGGCAACAGTGCCCAAAATGTATGTTATCACTTGTCCTATTAGGGCATAATACTTTTTTCTAAGCTGACACAGGCTTAACAACATTCCTTACATTTAGCCACATTTTAAGCATTAACTCTATGAAATCAGACATTAAAATTGCTGGTTATATTTTTTCTAATATACACTTCGGTACTTTGCATGTACTACCTGCATGATTTCCTATCTCTCAGAGCTGTGTACCAGTGCTGGACAAACCCTGGACTGTGGTGTTTACTGACTAGCCCAGTCAGCATGATGGTGAGACTTGTGTCCGTCACTGCAGAGCTAGTCAGTAAAGGGAGCAATCAGCTGCCCAACAGATTATACCAACCAGACTGTGAAACCCTCCAAACCGTTCTCTTCCCTCCTCAACCAAAAGTCCACCTGTCCCTCCTGCCAAGACAGCAGAGAAAGAGCATGCAAGCAAGAGCAGAGGGCTCTTGGGAAGTAAGTACCTGGAGTCCTCGTGAAAAGCTGAGATGAAGTCCGACTGGGCGTACTCTGGGTACAGAAAAAGCACAGGCCAGCTCAATCTGCCCTGGTCATCTACACTCAGCCTGGCTCCACAGGGGTTCCCAGAGCTAAGCCCATCCAGGAAAAGCTCACCAGGACACTCTGAGGCCGAATCTTCATCCTCACCGGCAGCTTCCGAGACTAACTTGATGTTCCTAGCCTGGGTTAAAGACAGAAACGCACACACAGCCCCTTACTGTGTGGAAGGATGCAAACCCATTTCACCAAAACAGGGAAACTCTAACTCAGCCAGCTCCCTGAGGGCCAGCTCTACACGTGATGCACCTGCGACGACCCTGAGGCCTGGCACACCGCTGGTGTCGCTCTGGTTTAACCAACCTTCACCAAACATCTATCACGTGCTAGACTGTGTCACAGAGACGAGCGAGATGTGGTTCCTGCCCTCAAGCCCCTGCTCGTGGTCTAGTGGGGAGACAGCTCTGGAAATAAGTACCACATAAGGTAAGAAGTGGAGCTGTGGAACTGCGGACGATGAATAGTGAATTTAGCCTTGGGGCTGCAGGCCAACCAGGGCATGCCAGGCCTTGAACAACTTTGAAAGGCAGAGAAATAAAGGTGTGGGGAGGGTGGAAGGGCATTCCACCCCAAGGAACAGCATGTGCAAAGGCATTGAAAAGATCAAGAGGGTGGTGTGTACAAAAATGGCAAATGTTTCAGTTTAGCTAGGACATGGAATATTAAAAATAATGCACACTGACTTAATCTTGACTGCCTCGTAAAAATAAGGATAAATCAAAGGTCTGAATAGTAGTCACCTCTTATGTGTGTGGAGGTTCCTAAGCTAGCAAATGAGGGGAAAGTTACATGCAATCAAAATTACCGCTGACTGCGATCTCCTAAATCAGGGGTTGGCAAACTTCTCCTTTAAGGGTCAGGTAAGAAATATTTTAGGCTTTGTGAGCCAAATGGTCTCTGTTGAAATCAACTACTCAACTCTGCCATTGTAGTGTGAAAACGGCCACAGGTAACAGCGAAGCCAACAGGCAGGGCTGTGATCCACTGGCTGCAGTTTGCTGACCCTTGCTTTTATATTTTCACCAGCGGTAAAATATAGTAGGTGTGGCTTTGTGTAGACTATGGAGAGTGATTCTTATGTACACTGAAGCTTGAGATATTAGACTGAAGGAGAAAACAAAAATAAGGTCTGTATGCAAATGTCTGGGCAATCCAATATTGTACATTTTAGAAAATGGCCAAATCCCTCACTGTGAATGAGGATTCGATGGAGAATCTAGTGTATTCCATTCTGTTTAATCTGTTAATATGTGTTAACAGATTGCTCGTTGTGGGGAGGACTAGTGGAGAGCATCTTAGTACTGCAAAGTTCTCAGTCAACAAGGAACTTAAATGGGTGCATAAGTTAGCTCCACAGAGACTGAAACCAAGAAGCTACCCCACAATCCCCTGGCAGGTGCTAGCTCCCTTGTGAGGACCAAGCAAGCCAGGCTCAACAGGAGACTTGCTGGGTACTTAGGTAAAAGCAAGACTTGGATCAGACTGCACTCATTTAGAATGCAGAGACGAGAGGGAAGGGGAGGTAGAATTTCGTTGCTGTTGTTATAGGTAGAGAAGCAACATCCTAAAACGTCAGACTTCCTCAGGATGCAGCATGACAGTGGCTAGGAACAAGGGCCTGGCTCTGACACACATTAGCTCTGAGAGGTTTCTTCGCCTGTCTGAGACTTCGTCACCATCCAGCAAAACACGAGCAAGAAGACCTACCTGCCTCAGAAGGCGACTGTGAGATTAAGTGATGCCTGACCGTACCAAGTATTCAGCGTAGGTTCCCTGAGACCAACACATGCACACCCGTGGGAGAGCTGACTGAACCCAGGGGTCCGGCTCCAGAGCCCCTTCTTCATACCGCTTCACCGAAGCAGACGAACAAATTCATTCAGGTAAAGCAGCCCAAGAAAGGTTCCCAAGAGGCTTCAGGACTAGTGGATTTAACAAGAACTGTGAGGGCCTACGGTCTGAGAACTCACCTTGACAGCCTGGAGTAAAGCCTCATTCTGATTCTGCTCCTTCTTTTCTTTCACTTTTGCTTTCCTTATATCCCTCTGTTCAGTTCGCTGGAAATGAAGTTCAGGTGCATCAGCTCTAGAGAACCTGCTTCCTATTCCGTTACACCAGCCTGTGCCTAAAAGACCATCTCCGGTCTCCATCCAACCCAGCCTCCCGCGTCAAGGGATACCAGGGGCCGGATTCAGTTCAATAAATACTTACTTAAAAAGCGCATGTCTGGGCGCCAGGACCGGTGGCAGCAGAAATTTAAAAATCTATAGATCCTGTACCCAAGGAGCTCAGTCTACCGAGGGGGACAGACAAGTAAAAGGTCACGTGTTACCCAGGTGGTGAGAACCGAGAGGTATAAAACAGCGGAGGGAACAACTGATTCTGCCCCTCTGAGGAGGGGCTTTAGCTAGACAAGGAAGATTCCACCGGATGAAGGAGAAAGGACATTCTCAGTAGAGGGACTGACATCAGGGCCCATGGGGCATTTCAACTTCTCTGGTGTGGCTGGGGTACAGAAAAATACACTGGAAAAACCCAGCGCAAGACCTTCTCAGAGGCTCTGCCTTTTGCACAATGAAAATCCATGAGAGAAAAGTACCATCAGTCTCCTGAGCCTGGCAGAAATGTAATGGAGATTTCCTTTTCCTGCTAATCTCCTCAAAAGCAGCTGATCCTGCTCTTACCCTCAGGACTGTGGACTAAAGGGGTCAGCAAACTTTTTCTGTAAAGGGCCAGATAGTAAATATTTTAGGCCTTGCAGACCATATATGGTCTCTGTTGCATATTATCTGGTTTTGTTTGTTGTTTATAACCCTTTAAAAAGGGGGAAAACTTTCTTAGTTCACAGAACATGCAAAAACAGGCCACAAGCTGGATTTGGCCTGTGGGTCAGTTTGCTGACACCTGCCCCAAAATATAGCACCAACCACTCCTCATTCTTCCCATGAAAGCCCCAAAAAGGCTAACACAGATTTTTTTCCCTTGTGAACCAAGTCCATCCTTTCAGGGAAACAATGACTGATAATCCTTGGCCATTCTTTCTCCATTCCAGTCTGCCAAGAGCTGCAAAACCCCTTCCCGCCGTCAGGACGTTTGACTGCTCTCTCAAGAGCATGCCACCCAACGGACACTGCTAGACTATGTCCAATTCTGCCTTCACAGTTGAGCTGCGCCCAATCAGTGCCTGGTCCACACTAGAAAACGATTAAGATGGATGATTAAGGATGACTTGGGCTCTGTCCCAAGTTGCTTTCACTGATTTACAGGATGCAAGTGGGTGGATGTGGCTTCCTGCTTACCTGAAGTTTGGGGTCTTGGCAGCCCACATAAAGTGGAATAAAGGCAGGAGGATCCCTGAACTGTGGAGTTTGCTGCCCTTTTTTCCAAAAATCATCAACTTTGTTGAAGTATAATTTACAGATTTTAAGTGGACAGTTCAATGAGTTTTGGCACACGTGTACCGAGTACCCAGCACTCCAACCAAGACAGAGAACACTTCTACCCCCTCGACTGTCGCCACACGCCCCTTTGCAGTCAACCCTCCTCCCAACCCATCACTGATGAGTTTTTCTTTTTGTTGCCAAGTAATATTCCATCATATGAATATACCACATTTTTGCTTATCTTTTTTCCTATTGTTGGATACAAGGGCTTTTCTGGGTTATTATGAATAAATAGGCTATGAACATTCTTATACACGTTCTTTTATAAACGTGTTTTCATTTTTCTTAGGTAAATACCTAGGAGTGAAATTGCTGGGTCACAGGACAGCTGTATGAAATTGTCAAATTGACTTCCAAAGTGGCTGTACCATTTTCCATCCCGCTGGTAATGTATGAGAGTTCCAGTTGCTCCACATCTTCGCCAATATTTGGTCTTGACAGTCTTGTGAACTGGGATCCTGATGAGGTTTATCTGCATTTCCCTGAAGTCTAACAATAATGTGCATAATTTTATGTGCTTATTGTAAATCTTCTTTTGAGAACTGTCTGTTCACTTCTGCCACATTAAAATTTTTTCATATTGAATAGATTTATGTATTCTGGATACAAATCCTGTTAGATATATGTATTAAAAATATTTTCCCATTCCGTGGCTTGCTTTTTAATCTTAGCGATGTCTTTTATAGAATAGAAATTGTTTAGTTTTGACTAAGTCCTATTTATCAATAATTTTGTCTTTTAGGATTAGTATATATTTTACTTTTTTTAATTAAAGTGAAATTCACATGACATAAAATTAACCATTTTAAAGTATACAATTCAGTGGCATTTAGTACATTCACTATATTGTACAACTATCGCCTCTATCTAGTTCCAAGGCTTTTCAACGCCCTAAAAGGAAACCCCAAGCCCATTAAGCAGTCACTCCACATTTCCCCATTTCCCCAGCCCCTGGCAACCACTAATGTGTTTTCTGACTCCATAGATTTACCTATTTTGGCTGTTTCATATATATAGGATCATACAATAAGTGATCTTTTATATCTGTCTTCTTTCACTTAGCATAGGGTTTTTGAGGTTCATCTACATTATAACATGTATCAGTATTTCATTCCTTTTTATGGCTGAATAATATTCCGTTGCATGGATTTCCCACATTTTATCTATCATCAGTTGACAGACATTTTGATATTTTTCCCACTTCTTGGCCATTATGAACAGTGTTAACATGAACAATCATGTGTAAGTATTTGTTTACATACTTGTTTTCTTTTGGGTATATACCTGGGAGTCAAAGTGCTAGGTCATATGATAATTCTATGGTTAATTTTTTGAGGAATTGTCAAACTGTTTTCCATAGTGGCTGCGCCATTTTACATTCCCACCAGCAACATATGAGGGTTTCATCATTTCAATCACATCGTCATGAACATTTGTTATTTTCCTTTTTAAAAAAATTACAGCCATCCTAGTGAGTGTAAAATAGTATCTCATTGTGGTTTTGATTTACATTTCCCTAATGACTAATGATGTTAACCACCTTTCATGTGTTTGTTGGTCATTTGTGTATCATCTTTGAAGAAATGTCTATTCAGATCCTTTGCCCATTTAAAAAATTAGGTTGTCTTTTAATTACTGAGATGTTAAGAGTTCTTTATATATCCTAGATAAAAGTACCTTAACAGATAGATGATTTACAAGTATTTTCTCCTATTCTGTGGGTTCTCTTTTCACTTTCTCAATGGTGTCCTTTGAAGCATAAAAGTTTTTACTGTCGATGACGTCCAGTTTATCTTTTTCCTTTTTTTTCTTTTTGAGGAAGATTAGCCCTGAGCTAACTACTGCCAATCCTCCTCCTTTTGCTGAGGAAGACTGGCCCTGAGCTAACATCCATGCCCATCTTCCTCTACTTTATACATTGGATGCCTGCCACAGCATGGCTTTTTGCCAAATGGTGCCATGTCCACACCCGGGACCCGAACCAGCAAACCCCGGGCCGCTGAGAAGCGGAACGTGCACACTTAACCACTGCGCCACTGGGCCAGCCCCCTACTTTTTCTTTTGTTGTTTGTGCTTTTTGTGTCATAGCTAAGAAACCATTGCCCAATCCAAGGTCATGAAGATTTATGCCGATGTTTTCTTCTAAGAGTTTTATAGTTTTACCTCTTACACTTAGGTCTTTGATCCATTTTGAGGTAACTTTTGTATATAGTATGAGGTAGGTGTCCAAGTTCATTCTTTTGCATATGGGATGCAGTTGTCCCAGAATCATTTGTTTAAGACTATTCCTTCACCATTGACCCTTGATGAGAATCAATCATCTGTAAATGTGAGAGTTTGTTTCTGAGCTCTCAATTCTATTAACACTTATCTATATGTCTATTCTTATGTCAGTACCATGTCTTGACTGCTATGGCTTTGTAGTAAGATGTGAAAGTGGGAAGTGTGAGTCCTCTTTTTGTTTTTCAGGATTATTTTGGCTATTCTGAGTCCCTTGAATTTTCATATGAATATTAGAATCAGCTTGCCAATATTTCTACAAAGAATCCAGTTGGAATTTTGATGCAGATTGTGTTGAATCTGTACATCAATTTGGGGAGTACTGTCATCTTAACAATATTAAGATCTGATCCATAAACGTGGGATATCTTCCCATTTATTTAGGTTTAATTTCTTTCAACAATGTTTGGTATTTTCAGAGTAAAGTTTTATGCTACTTGTGTTAAATTTATTCCTAAGTATTTTATTCTTTTTGATGCTATTGTAAATAGAATTATTTTCTTAATTTCACATTTGGAATATTCATTAAGTATCTATGGGAGACAACTGATTTTTTTACACTGATGTATCCCACCAGCCTGCTGAACTAATTTATTAGTTCCAGTAGTTTTTCGTGGCTTCCTTAGGATTTTCTATATACAAGATCATATCATTTGCCAATGGAGAGTTTTACTTCTTCCTCTACTTCAGTTTTTGAAGAAGAGGTTTGCTGGACATAGAATTCTTGGTTGACAGTCCTTTTGTTTCAGCACTGAATTTCTTTCATCCACTGCCTTTTGGCTCCCATGTTTTCTGATGAGGACTCAGCTGTTAATTCATCAAGGATCTCTTATATGTGAAGAGTCACTTCTCTCTTGATGTTTTTAAGATTCTCTTCTGTGTCTCTGACTTTCAACAGTTATGATGATGATGTGTCTGGGTGTAGATTTAAGTATACCCTACTTAGAGTTTTATTAAGCTTCTTGGAAGAGTAGATTACTGTTTTTCATCAAGTCTGGGAAGCCTTTGACTGTCGTTTCTTCAAGTGTTCTTTTGCCCCTTTCTCACTCTCCTCTCCTGAGACTCCCATTATGCTTATGATGATATGCTTGATGGCATCCCACAGGTCTCTCGGTCTCTCTTCATCTTTCTTTATTCTTTTTTCTTTCTGTTCCTCAGACTGGGTAATCATAACTGACCTATCTTCAGAGTTCTGCTGTTGAGCCCTTCAGTGAATTTTTCATTTCAGTTATTGTACTTTTCGACTACAGAATTTTTTTTTTTTTGAGGAAGATTAGCCCTGAGCTAACTGCTGCCAATCCTCCTCTTTTCGCTGAGGAAGACTGGCCCTGAGCTAACATCTGTGCCCATCTTCCTCTACTTTATATGTGGGATGCCTGCCACAGCATGGCTTGACAGGAGGTGCCATGTTCGCACCCAGGATCCGAACAAGCGAACCCCGGGCCGCCAAAGCAGAATGTGTGCACTTGGCTGTGCCACCGGGCCGGCTCCCAGAATTTCTATTTAGTTCCTTTTTACAATTTTTCTTCAGTGATATTCCCTACTTGATGAGACATCATTCTCATATATATGTATTTTTTTAGTTCTTTAGACATTGTTTCCTTTTGTTCGTAGAACAGATTTAAAGCAGGTAGTTTAAAGTCTTTGTCTTGTAAATCCCATGTCTGCAGTCCCTCAGGGACAGTTTCTGTTGATTTTTTTTCCCTGTGTATGGGCCATAGTTTCTTGTTTTTTTGCATGCCTTGTAATTTTTTGTTGAAAACTGTTGTTGAGGTATGCATATGTTCACTAATTTCAAAGAGGGGACTGAGTTTCAGAAACATCAGGAAGTTGCTCAAAATTATACAGTTCTGCTTTCTCCTGTCTGGAATGTTCCTCTCCTCACCTCCATCCCCCGCCTGAACTGAGTAAACTCCTGCTGAGTCTTCAAGGGATTAGACTCAGGCATCACCTCTTTCCCCAAAGCTTCTCTGCCACCCCAGCTCTGCCCTGCTCTTAGCCAGGGCAGTGTCGGATAGCACTACTACACACACTATATTCTTGCTTGCCTCTGTCACATTATAACTATTTATTTACATGTTTGTTTACCTGTCCTTGTCTCCGGAGTTCCAAGGGTAGGGACTGGTTTGGGTTTTGTTTTTAAAGAAGAAAAAATTTACAGTGACCCAAAAGACACAATCTGGGGAATGCTAATTAATTAATGCTAATTAACAAATGCCAACTGGCTACTATTTCTGTCACCAACCTTCAACTTGTCTGCTTTAGCCCTCATTTCCAGAAGCTTCTTCTCTTTGGCATCTATCTGCAGCCCCTCATCGCACCAGTTCACAGCCTCGGCAAAGTTTTTCAGTTCCAGATGGCATAAGGCACCTGCAGAACCCAGAACCCTTAGAATCCACGGACAACAGGCATGAAAAGAACCCTACGTGAGCAGGAGCCCCACTCCTACCAACTACCAGGCAGCACCCTGAAGGAAAAACAGATGATACAGCCCCTTGTGCTGCATTCCCCAGACAAGAAGAATACTTTTTGTATCTTAGATCCAAAAGCTCTCTAGGGCCCATTCAGCTCAAAACTCCTGTAAGCCTCCCTGGCATTAAGGACTCTTAAAGTACGGAAGGCTACAGCTTAATGGCACAGTACAGGCTCGGGAATCAGACAGATCTGGGCTGGAAATCTGGCTCTGTCATTTACTAACGAGACATTAGACAAAGAACTGAGCATCTCTGAGCTTCAGGTTCCTCATCTGCAAACAAGAAGAAAAAAGCCCATCTCAGATAATTTTTTTAAATGAGAAGAAAAGGCAGAATTTTCCTCAGGCATTCCTCAAACAGTGGCAAGAGCAAAGACGTCGGGTCTCTCCTAGAATCAATCTGATGGTTCCAGGGTTGAGCTGCCTCTCCTTTAATCATGTTCATTTTTTCTCCAGTTAGCCTCTTTAGGTTTTCCACAGAAATTCAAAATATCAGAACTGCATGAGCTTAGATGTCAACAGAATCCAACCTCAGAGATGAGCAAACTGATACAGAGAGTGGGTGTCTCGCCAAGGTCACAGGGTAAGGTAAAACTGACTATTCAGTTAAGGATTACATACTTCCAGCCTGCGGCCAAATCCATCGGACTACACTCAATTTACTTGCCAATCTCTGTTCAGTATCTTCTTTCCCTATAGCGGAGGGACTGGGCTCTACTTACCCACCCCAACCATGAGTACCTAAAGAAGCCGAACTTTTATAAAGCATTTTAAGTTGGTCCATGGGGATACAGGAAAGATTAATATGTGATGAATAAATTAAAGTTCGCGAAGCACCTTAGAGCTTCCCAAAGAAAAGGTGAAGGATAAAAGTAATAAAAGTACTATTATTACATCGAAAGGTCACACTACAAAACAAAAAATAATCTGGGAACATCTCAGCATCAGAGTTATCAGCAAAGGTCCCATGACTTATCTGTTAATTAACATTAACATGGCATTTGACGATCTTGCCTTCCAATCAGCTAATCTGGAAAAAAAATTAGAATGTGGCTTTTCGAACTGCTTTATTTTAATTAACTTTATTCTTTATTAATTTAAAACGAGGAGTTTAAATTTCTCTACAAATTCTTAAAACACAAAGGGTTAGATTATTCTCCAGAGAATTCTTTTAAAAATGGCATATCGCTGTTGATAAGGACCAAGAACTTAATACCAAGACTGCAAAACTAAGGTGACTTCATTAGTATCTCAGCACCTTAATATCAAAGCTTAAAAGGTCTCCACTTGTGGTGCAGCGAGTGCCAACTTCTCCATAATGACAATCATACTGTAGTTCTACAAGACTTACCTCTTACTATGGCTTTGAGGTGGCAGGGTTTGAGCTTTCTGGCAGCAGTCACATCATTGAGAGCAGAACGCAAATTGCCTAACAAAACACCATTTAGTAAAAGAGAGAAGAGTGTGGAGTCAGAATATTTCCAAAATTTTGTGTGTAAACACAAAGACACTCTTGTACAGTCTTGGAGAAATATAAATCAGAGCAACAGTTTTTAGAAAAAAATATAACTGTACTCAAGAGCCTTAGAAATGTTTATAACATCAGGCAACCCACAGAACAACTATAAATGGCTAGCACATGAAAGATGCTTGGCATCACTAATAATAAGAGAAATTAACACGAAACTGGTAAAAATTAAAGACAGATAATATCCAGCATTGGTGAAGATATGGAAAAAGGGCACTCTAAGGGTAAATTAAGAGAGCAAATTAGCATGCACTTTGTGCACACACTTTGACCCAAGAATATTCTTCTAAAAATTTATCCTTAAAAAAACTTGCACAGGGGCTGGCCCCGTGGCCGAGTGGTTAAGTTCGCGCGCTCCGCTGCAGGCGGCCCAGTGTTTCATTGGTTCGAATCCTGGGCTCGGACATGACACTGCTCATCAAACCACACTGAGGCAGCGTCCCACGTGCCACAACTAGAAGGACCCACAACGAAGAATGTACAACTATGTACCAGGGGGCTTTGGGGAGAAAAAGGAAAAAATAAAAAAAAAAGTCTTTAAAAAAAAAAAAAACTTGCACAAATTTGCAGGAATAAATGTAACAGCATATTAATGGCAGCATGACTTTTAACTGTGAAAAGCTGGAGGTAACCGAAATATCCTCAATTTAGTAATGATTAAATAAATGATGGTAAATCCATACTATTGAATACTATGCAGCCATTAAAAAGAGTAAGACAGATCTGCATGTAAAAGGCTTGACAGAATGTCTTTGCTATACTGTTTGCACTGGTGGTTCAATATGTATAGAAGCCTATTTTTCTAAAACAAACCAATCTAAATATACAGACACATATGTGGGTGTAGGTGCATTTTAAAAAGGGTGCATTCATACACACTGGTTATCCAAACTAGAAGGGCGTCAGGTAGACTGTCACTTTCTAGTTTATACTGTAAATATTACTTAACAGTTTGGTATTTACCCATTCATTTCACTTCTAAAACTCTAGCCCAGGAGTCAGCAAAATTTTTCTGTAAATGGCCCTATAGTAAATATTTTAGGCTTTACAGGACACATATGATCTGTTACACATTCTTCTTTGTTAGTTTTACAATCCTTTAAAAATGTAAAAAGCATTTTTAGATCACAGGAGGCCAGGGATCCAGATGTGGCCTATGAGCCAGTTTGTTAAATCTGCTTTAGCCTAAGAATAATCAGAATTATTAGGACAACATTATCACTAACTTTGTTTATTTTGCCTAAACAAACCTAAAAGCAGCTATTTACTCAACAATGTATAGAATGCTAAAGCAAATAGTGTAAACACTGGTATGTCCATATAATGCAATTTTATGTAGCTACTAAAACAGTATTCACAATTTGAATGACAAGTGAAATTATTTGTTATAAAATTAAGTGAAAAGAACTGAATACAAAATTGGATGAACAGCATTATCTTAACTACGGGAAAAAATGCACATAAAAGAGATCCAAAGACTTCTAGTTAAAGGTGACAGACTGAACACATGCATTTAACTCAACCCCCACCACATTCATCCTTCCCCCCAAAAAAAGCCATAAACCTAGAGACAAGAAGAATGACAACATAGAACACATTTTAAAGCCGGAAAACAAAAGGACAAAGGCTAACTGACTAATCAGGCTTGAGAAAACTGAATTCTCAGCCAGCAGAGGAAAAGCCCCAAAGCTACCAAGCTGTACTGCAGACCCTACAAAGTACTCAGGACTAAGGAACTGCCAGCACCAAGGACCTCTGGAAATGTGGGGACAGGCGTCTCCCATGCAGTGCACTTTGAATCAAACCTGATTCTGCATCCTAATCCTAGCACTGTGCACCCTCAATTCATTTTACTAGATTTACTACATTTGACTAGTTTCTTACTCTGCTGACTAGGGATAAAGCTATGAGGTCAGGAGGAATATCAAATGTGAAAGTGCTTTTTAAGTCAAACCAGTGACTCATCATTTAAGGAATGGCTCTGATTATGATGCATCTCCTCCTCTGGTATCGCACACACACGGTTTTTTCTTGCAAGGTGCTTTTGGTCTTAGGAGCCCTATACGTGACATTCTCTAAGTTCCCCAAGGAAAGGAACTACGTAGCTCTTGTTCACAGTACAGTGCCCAGCACAGAACAAGACCTCCGTCTGTCTGCTGAATGAAGAAAGCATATTCCTCCAGAAGTTGGAGGGCTGGGTTTCTAGTCCAGGTTCTGGCACTAAGCAAAGGGTCCCTGTCTGGGCCTATGTAAGATGAGGGGCTTGGTCAGCCCAAACAATCTCTGAAGTTCCATCCTACTTTTCCCTTTTAGAACTTTGCAATGAAACAGACTAAAGGAGAAAACAGTTGAAGCAGACTATGGTTGAAGAGAAACTCTGCTCAAATGGTGACGAGTCCCAAGAGACTCATCCCAGCGAGACCACAGGGCAGGGCTATTCTCTACCAGCCCCTCAGAAATGCTTGAGGCCATTCGCAGGTCCTCTCTAACCCCTGTGATAAGAAACAAGGGTCTAACATGACCAAGACTAGTCACCAGTAATGCCACCAAAGAACCAGTGTTTCCCAAAGTCACATCTGCAGAACAGTCCTGCACGTTAAGAAGTGTTGCTTGAAGAGGAGGCTTACAAAACTTGAGAATCACAGGGTCAAGTCCTTCGCTGTGGGTTTGCTCAGCATCCTGACCATACTAATGTGCACTGCAAATCTGCAACAAAAAGCCGCACTCTCCAAGCTTACTCGTCCCAAGAATATCTTTTACTTCAAGGGTCACACAGACTACTCTTGGAGAAATTCTCCCTTAGATTAATATAGTTTCTCTCACACAAAGATCTCAAACCCTTCTAGCATCCTTGGGAAGAGGGTAAAGAGTCCAGAAAAAAAAAATTTGAGAGAGCAGAAGCATTTGGGCTCAAAAATCCCAGATCATACCAACTCATGTATTAAGATATTTGATGTCACTCATTTGGTTCAGATAGAATTCTACCATGTATCTGGTTTCCCTTTTCACCAAGTCTACCTGGAAGATCAGAGTTCAATTAAACTATCCTAGGTTCTGGGATCAGCAGGTCCTCCTCCTCTGACACTCTCAAAGCCTCCACTAGCCATCATAAAGGCTTTCATCACAAATTAATTCTTTACAAAGCACAAAGTAATGGCATAATTACCCAGGTAGTACTGTGCTGCTGCCCGGTTGGTATAAAGGACAGCATTCAAATCAGGGTCTGCACATTTCTTCTTTAATCCTTCAGTGTATGAAATCACAGCTTTTTTATAGTCTTTTTCTTTAAAGTAATCATTGCCCTCATCTTTATAGGTCTTGGCCTGTTCTGCAAAGAAGAGAAGAAACAATCACTATTTTCTGTTTTTTAAAAGGCTCATTAAAAATATTCTAAATCAGGGGCCGGGCTGTGGCTGAGTGGTTAAGTTTCCCCACTCCCCGGCTGGGTCCCAGGGTTTTGCTGGTTCGGATCCTGGGCACAGACATGGCACCACTCAAGAGGTCACTCTGGGGCAGCATCCCACATGCCACAACTAGAAAGATCCACAACTAGAATGTGCAACTATGTACTGGGGGGATCTGGGGAGAAAAAGCAGGAAAAAAAATATTCTAAGTCATGCAATAATGTAATATATGATAAACCAATTAGAAGAAACCAGTAGGGACGGAAAACTCAAAAAATTAATGCTATAAAACTGGGCATCAACGTGGAGAAACAAAGTCACGCGTACTTAATGCTACAATCAATTCCAAATATCTTACAAGGTAAATTATTAAGTGATTACAAAAAAAAAAAAAGGCATAAAGGAAAAATACATTTATCCTAGCTCTTAAGGAAAGGACTTTTTTTTTTAGTTACTGAAAAAATAGGGCGAAATTATACTTCTTCTGCTTCTGTTATTCTATTCCCTGGAATGCAAATTCCCGTCCTCCCCCAGTAAAAACCTACAGATTGTTAAGATTCAGTTCCAACGCCCGTCCACCGCGAGCCCACTCCCGCCCGCCTGGCGCCGGCCCTCGTCACCCGCGTCTGTCCGGTGCTCTGGAGGGCAGTCTTGGCCACCCCTCCCAGGGCCTGGCATTAGACACCCCAAGGCGCGCACGCGGCCGCCGCGACCCGAGCCCAGGCGAACTTCTTGTTACCAACGAGAATCTTGCGACTCACTCGACCTCAATCCAGTGGAGACAGAAACGAACGCGGGAGTCGCGGAAGGTACCTTCTGGAGATCGCTCCTCATCGAAAATAATGGACTGGAGGCAGGCCAGGTCAGGGTTCTCCCGCGGGTCAACCTCCGACGGCGCTTGCTTCATGAAGAGCGGGATCTTTGCAAATTCCTGCACGTTAAGAGAATGAACTAGACCCACAGGATTGTCCGTTCCATAGGCCCAGCTCCGTGTCTCCACCAAAGCTTCCCGGCAACTCCTCACGACCGGCTCTCTCCCCGGCCAGGCCTCCGTGTCCCGCCCGTCGGCGGAGAGCGACCTCTCAGAGGCCGTCGGTCCCCGCGTTCCCACAAGAACGGCCCACCCACCAGGCCCCGAGCGCTCTCCGTTCCCGGCCCGCGACCCGCCCCCTCGGTCGCCGCCCCGGCGCTGCTGCCGCGAGGGCCACTCCGCAAGCGGGGACGCGCTCCGAGGAGCCCCGGGTCAGAGCCGGCGGTGGGGGGACGCGGCCCGTCCGACTCCACAGCCCACGCTCGCAGGCGCGGCGGCCGCGCTGGCGGACCCGGCGCCCACCTCCTCCCACTGGTCCTCGCGGAAGCCGCCGCGGTAAGGCTGGCTGCGGAACTTCTCCAGGAATGCGTCCATGGCTTCGTCGCCGGCGGCGTCCGGCGCTGGCTGCTCCATGGAGCCCCTCGACCCTCCGGCCACGGCCCCGGCGCCGAGAACAGCGCGGCAACTTCCGGCGGCGCGGGCGCGCCTCGCTCAACCCTCCGGGCGGCGCAGGCGCGCGCGCCTCGAGTTCCGCGCTGCCGGAGACCAGGCCGGCCGGGTTCCGCCGCGCCCCGCCCCCACGCCTCTGGGCTGGGTGAACCCCGCGCCCCGCAGGGCCCCGCCGTCGCTTGCTTCTCTCTTCCGTCCCGCTCGCCGTCCCGCGTTTCCTGAGCTCCGGCCGCGGCGGCCGGGCGCACTGTGCCGGGCGAGCTGCCAGGGCTGGTCAGGCAGCGGCGGGAGCCGGGGCGAAAGGTGCACAGCGATGGCGCAGGCGTCCCAGCAAAGGAGGAGCCGGCTCGGCGGGGTGGCGGGAGCAGCGGCCCGGGGACGGGCGGGCTGGGGCCGGGAGAGGCGAGCGGAAAGCAAGGGCCGGGGTGGTGGCCGCGCGCGACCCTGAGGACGTGGGGCTCGCAGATCGCCCGGGAGCGTTCGGGCCTGGGGGACAGGAGTGCTGTGATCCGACGTGCCTGGTTCTGGGGTCAGCCGGCCCCGACCCCCACCGCTGAGAGGAAGCAAGGTCCCGGGGCCCGTGTGCCTTCCTGCAGCCACTGGGTTACCCAGCAAGTGGCCGTGGGGCCCTGCATTGGGGGCTACAGCCTTGGGGAGCCCACAGTCCGTCCTAGAAGAAAAGACGGGCCGCAGACCAGTCTAAACCGGGCTGGTCACAGTCCCACAGTGGAGGCCCGGAGGAGCGGGTGTTCTCTGGGGGTTCAGAGAGGTTTCACAGAGGAGGGGATGCCGAGCTGACGGCAGAGATGAGGAGGGCCTCTGCAGATGGATCAGCTGAGGGGTGCTGGGCGTTTGGGGGCGGGGGGGTGGGGGGAGCCTGTGTGCAGAGAGGCATGGAGGTGTGCACCAGCCCACACGTCGGGACTGCAGTAGTTAAGAGGGAAGGCCAGCAAGGCCGGTGGGGCCAGAGGGCCTGCCTGCCCCTTGCCCGTTATCTGGGGCCACTGATAGACCTAAGGGCACATTTGTCTTAGGGAGGCCGGGTTGCCGCTGAAGGCTTGATGTGGGGAGGCTGGGTTAAGAGATTGACAAGGAGGCTGCTGCTGAGCCATGTGAGAGTGAGGGGAGAGACGCCTGACAGTGGAGCTGGCAGGCCTGGTCATCATTTCATATGGGCATGAGGAAGACCGCAGGGCTGACGGTGACACATGAGGGGCTGTGAGCCCCCCGGGGCCAGGACTCTCTTTTCCCTTCTAACTTGCCCACACCCAGCAGAAAACCTAGTCCAGTGCTCCCTTTCCTCCAAATCCAGACCTCCCCTTCCACACTTCCTCCCCCAGCTGCTCCCAGTCTTGTGCTCCTCTTCCTTATCTTTCCCCCGTCTTGAGCAGGGCCTGCAAAACAAGGCCTTTGATTCCAGTTTTTCATCTGATTCCTATAAAACCCTGTGAGCTGAGAACCCATTTTACAGGTGATGACGGGGGAGACTCAGAGCAGGGAAGTGACTTGCCCAGTGCTCTTTGACCCTTCCCACTCAAGCCTGTCGGGGGCCTTAGCCAATAGCTCAGCCTATCAGCCTCTGTTGTGCTACGAGGCCACCGAGACCCAGAATATGGCAGCTGCAGTGTGTCAAGGCCGCCCCAGACCTGGGTTCTGGATGGTGAAAGCAGTGGTGTCTCGGCATGGAGAGGGCTCAGGCCTGGGAGCTGGGAGAGCTCTGGGACCCAGACTTCTGCTGATTCCTGGCATGACCATGGACAAGGCCCGGCTGTCTTTGAGCCCTCGTCTGTAGAAGGTGGGCAGTGAAGCCAGTCCGCCTTCCCCATAACTCCGTATGGATACTGTAAGATTCAAAGGAGGCACTGCTTGTGAACATTCTTGGCAATGGAAAAGCCTTGTGGAAGAACCATCCCCAGTTCCTACTCTCTCTCAGGCCCAGAATCCCGATGGCCTTGGCCTACCATCTACTGGAGGATGATCGTGTGGTCAGCTCCATGGGCTCCTCATCCCCAGTGGGAGCTCGAATGTAGCTGCTCCTCAGGCTTATGTCTCTTCCCACTCTACACACTTGCCCGGGGGTCTCACCTCACCCCCGGACACAGATGAATCCCCAGTCTGTTTCCGTGTTAGACTCCTCTGCTGAGCTCCACCCCTGTGAGCCAGCCACCTGGGGGGTGTCTCCATGAGCATGGCTTGCAAGCCCCTCAAGCTCACCACATCCAGACTGAACTGTCCCTCTCCAAACCCACTCCTGGTCCCGAGGGCCCACTCAGTGGGGACCCTGTTGACCCGATCATCCACCCAGAAACCTGGGCGCCGTCCTGTTGTCTCTCTCTCTCTCTCTCCTTCATCCTGACAACCACCAGGTTCTGAAAATTCTGCCTTAATCTCCCCCAGGTCTGGTCACCCTCTCCATCCTGCACTGCAGCCCAGGCCCCTGTTCCTCTCTGAAGACTCCAGCCAGGTGTCCCTGTCTGTGCTCTTGTCCACCTGCCCCTGACCCCCGCCACTGCCAGCTCTTTCACTCCACTACAGAGTAAGCTCTCTTCCACTCCCTTTTTTCATTCACTCCCTTTTATGCCCCAGAGCCCTCCCTCCTACCCTCTCCCACCACTCTAATGTGTTTTCAGGTTATAAGTGTTCTTGCAAAATGTGAATTCTTTTTGATACACTTTTCTACTCAGCGCTAGGTTTGGTCCCATCCGTGGCGCTGCATGTACCCCACTGCCTCTAACTGCTGCCTGGGGCTCCATGGCACCCATCCCCCTATCCCCGAGGAGGCATACTAAGGCTGCCTGTTCTCCCAGGCACCACAAATAACGCTGTGATAGACTTCCTCCTACATGTCTCTTTACAGACCTGTGGGAAGATTTCCCCAAGAGGAGTGCCCACAAGTGGAACTGCTGGGTCATGGGTATGCGTGAACTTAATATGACTGAATAGTGGCAGATTCCTGCCCAGAATGGCTGCACCCCTCAACCCTCCCACCAGCAGTGCCTGGGCGTTCCTGTATCCCCATGAGGAGGGAGCTTTCTAAACAGACATCTGCCCACATCTCTCCCTGCGTAGCACCCCACCATGTCTTCCCGCTGCTCTCTGGATGAGGTTCCCCCTTAACACAGCCTCCAAGGCCATAGAGACCTGGCCCTGGCCCGCCACTCCCCGCCGGCCCCCGCCCTCACCGCTAGGCTCCCTTGCACTTATGTATCTGCCATTGGGCCTTGGTCCCATGTGCTCCGCTCTGCAGACACGCCCACCACGTGGTCATCTCTCCAAAGCCCCTGGAGGGGGTCTCGTCCCTGGGAAGCCTTCCCTGACACCCCACCTTCACCTCCTCTGGACTTCACAGCCCCCATGCTTCCCCTGCATCGCCGCGCTGACCTGCTGGGCTCTTGGTGTCTACATGTCTCTGACACTTCCATCTGACCAAAGGTTCTCAACCTAGCACTTTTCACACTTTGGGATGGGTAATTCTTCACCGTGGGGGCTGTCCTGGGCATTGAAGAATGTTTAGAAGCATTTCTGGCTTCTACCCACTAGATGCCAATAGCATCTCCTTCCCCAAGTTGTAACAACAAAAAACGTCTCCAGACATTGCCAGATATTCCCTCAAGGTCGAAAGCAGCCCCGGTTGAGAGCCACTGCGTCAGACCATGAGCTGCCCAGGGCCTGGGGCTGGGTCTCGTTCCTGTCTGTGTCTCCGGCACCCAGAGCAGGCCTGGCCCTGGTCAGGTGCTATATAAATGTTGCCCGAATCAGTGGCGGCCAATCTGGGCGAGGACTCGAGGGTGGGATTCAGACCAGGGTTCTGGGATGTGCACGATGTCATGGGGCAGAGGAGTCTCTTCTTTTCCTCCCCCAAAGCCCACCCAAATCATCATCTCCTTTGTTCTTGACTCTCCCTGTCGGGGAGGGGAAACTGAGACATCCAGCAGACTTACTGTGTGACCTTGAGCAAGCTACTTCACCTCTCTGAGCCTCAGCTTCCCCACTCATAACATGTGGACAAACAGCCTATATGAGTCTGTAAATGCTGACTGAGTCAACAGTGAAGGCCGTGCTCATCTCACAGGTTTGTCACACAGAGCAATGGCTGCTCCAGACCCCAGGGCATCTCCCACAAAGAAACACTCAGCAGGAAGAGGTAAGCCACATGGCATTTACAGTGAGCATGGCTGGGACCGTGGCCACCCTGAGGAGGGCTGGGGGCTTGGGGACATCACTGCTTCAAGGATATCTTCCAGGAGCCCAGTGCCTGCATGATCCAGGAGCGCCGCTGGTGGGAAGTGGGCAGGTTCTCACAGCTAGGGCTCCAGCGGTGGGTGGTGGCCGGGTCACACACCCACGTGTCCCCGTGCGGCAGTGGCCAGGAGTTCCTCCAGCAGCTGGCCAGGATCTGGGCCTGGGCCTGGGCCGCATAGATGCAAACTGATGCTTCTGGATCGTGTCTCAGGTTTTCCAGAGCTGGGTTATGGGGAGGGAAGAGGCCACTTATTAAGACCAGGTCCCCACATGTGTCCCACATCCCCTCCTTTCTTCTCACTTCCATGCCTTGGCTTAGGCACCCTCTGATCATCATCCTCTCATCTCAACTTCCTCCCAGCTCTTCAAATTGTTCACATCTTTCAAAACCTGCCTCCTCCAGGAAGCCTTCTTGGACTGCCCCAGCCTACCTTCAGGTTCCCATCAGCTTCCCCAGTTACAAAATTAACCTGCTCGCTTAAGAGTCTGAACTACTTGCCCTGCACTCAGTGGTTTTTGGTCTTATTTTCTGAGCCTGTTTCCTGGATTGTGAGCTCCCCAAGGTGGGGCTGTGTGTTCTGTGTTGGTAACCCGACGGTACCTAACGTGTACTCGCCTGGATGAAGACTAGCACAGCTGGGCTGAGCTGGAGTCCCTTGCCCTGGCCCACATCCCTCCCCTTTCCTATTACCCCCTGCGAGCTTCCTCATCCACTGACTGGCTCTGAAACCTCACCAACGCGGGCCATGACTTACTGGCTTTAACTTCGTTCAGACGATCTTCCGTCATTAAGCTCT